CTGAGAAAAAAATTTATCAAGTTCATGTATCACAATTACGTTCGATTGGTTCTGATCGATTTGATATGTAACAAGTTATTATAATATATTACTTCGTCTATATATATTATCTATTATTATGCAACGATTGGTTTTCCTTCTATTTTACTTTCCTGTATTTTGGTTATACATTGATTTATCTATCTTTTTTTTTATTTAACTTTGTTATTAGATTTATCGTTTTTTTTCTTCTCTTTGTTTAGTTATATTTTTTTTTGATTGTCATGTTCAATTTGTCTTTATCAAATGTTCAGTCATTACCAACAAATCCACATGTTACTGATCGTATTAATAAAAAGAATGAACAAAAACATCGTTATGAACAATTGTTTTCTTTATATCATCCACGTAAACCATATGTGATTTCTTTTATTAATTCATTGGCAAGTGAAGAAGAATTAAAAAATTTATGTGATATTATTAAATGTGCAACTGATTTTATATTTGATACAGAGTCTGATATTCATTCACATATACCTGCACTTATTCAAGTTTTAATCGTACAAGAAGATCAAAAACCTCTTTTAGTTTTATTAATTGAAACAACACATTTACCTGATATATTATCATTACGTTTTCGTGAAATTCAAAAGTTATTTCAATATTTATTTCGTACTGGAACAAATTTATATTCTTGGGGTTCGTTGGAAGATGAATTAACTCGATTTCAAATTTATCAATTATTTTCTGTACCTGTTCCTGCACGAATATTTAATGTACAATATATATTTACAAAATGGTTTAATGAATATATTAATAAAAAATCTAATGATAATAATAGTAATACAACAGATAATGATGATTCAGTTATTATCAATGCACCTGAAATTGATTCAGAATTATTTTTACCACCAATAATGATGAATCATCTTAAAGTTATAAACAATGAACTATGGAGTTTACAAGATGCAATCGCATATATTTTTTATAAACATCTTTTAAAGCGAGAAACATTAAGATCCTGGTCTATCGGTTTGGACAAAAGATTATTATCACGTAATAAGAATTATTCATTAAATTATCGAAAACGTTTAATTCAATATGCGGATGTGGGTCAAAAGAGTGCCAAGAACATCAACACCAACACCCCACACCCATACCCCACCCACACCCTTCTCTAGGTATGAAGTTTTTGAATCCTCATATTAATGTTTCTTGATCTGTGCGAGTGTGTGTGGTTTCACTCTATTGTCATCCACACCCCATCCACCCACACTCACCCGTACCCTAGCCACACCCACACACCCGCCGTTTGAGCTTATATCTGGCTCACAAGGTGGTCTCAATAGGACTAGCAAAAGCCTAAAAGAGTTCGTGTTGATGGATCTTTGAAACTGAGTTATGATCGTTTTACTGTTTTTTCGAGCGATTTGTAGGTATTTACCGAAAAATCAAATAACGGAATTTCAACCTGAAATTTTATCCATAGATAGATCTAATTACCCTTAGAATATCCTGAAAGTTTCATCTAAAAAGAATACTCTTTCGTCGAGATATTGAATCTTTAAAAAAATAGTCGCTTGTCACAAACATGCAAGGGGGAAACGGCGGACTTGAAGTAGAAAAGTACGTCAAAGTAGACTACTTGAAGTAGCTCAAAGTACCACCCAAGTAGCCCAAAGTAGTAACAAGTAGCTTAAAGTAACTTGAAGTAACTTCAGGTAAATTTGAAGTTGAAAAATACTTCAAAGTAAGCTACTTCAAGTAGCTGAAAGTAACTTGAAGTAGCTTAAAGTAGCTCAAAGTAACTTCAAGTCCAAAAGTCCGCCGTTTCCCCCTTGCAAACATGGCACAAAAATAGGATTTACTTGAAAATTCAATATCTCGACAAAGGAGTATTCTTTTTAGATGAAACTTTCAGGATATTCTAAGGGTAATTAGATCTATCTATGGATAAAATTTCAGGTTGAAATTCCGTTATTTGATTTTTCGGTAAATACCTAAAAATCGCTCGAAAATTCAGTAAAATGGTCATAACTCAGCTTCAAAGATCTATCAGCACAAACTCTTTTAGGCTTTTGCTAATCCTATTAAGACCACCATGTGGGCCCAATATAAGCTCAAACTGTGGGAGACACCTTGGACGGTTCCCCTGTCAACATCAGTATTTGTCGTCGTGTTCCGCAGGCATATTCAAAGGAGTTAACTATTCACTTCACTGGCTTTCACAGCGTTTCGTCGATTTGTAGTTTCGACTACTAGAGCTTCTGTTGCTCCAGTATGCTCCAGAAGCGAGTGTCTGCGCATCATTGTCGTGTTTCCTGCTCAGTTTTGAAAACACTTACTGTCCGTAAGGAGAAGAGTGCTATAGGATCTGCATTGAAATTTACACTCACTATTTTTGACAGCGAGACCCACAACATCATCTCTGACCTGGTCTGAAAACTAGCTATGATTTCGTCTTAAAATCAACCGTAGTGTGGGCCGAAAGCATCTCTAAATTGGTTCGAAAATCAGATCTAATCTGGTCTGAAACTCAACTTTAATCTGGTCCGAAAAACCATCTCCGATTTGGCCCAAAAATCAGTTCCAATTTGATCTGAAAAAAACTATTTCTGATTCGGTCCGAAAATCCGCTCTAATCTGACATCCGTCCGATACATACTGATTTTAAACAGCTGTTTCAAACAGACAGGCAGACAGACACACACGCACCCTCAGACAGACAGACATTTATGGTTTTAATTCACGATTCCAGACCCTAGTCTTTCAGCCTATGGAACACCTGCCACACAATTGCATAGATGAACCATGATTCATATACTTTTTGTTCTCAAAAAAACCTATAACAAGATATAACTTTCTAAGGTCACTCTTAAGGCGTAAGATAGTAGTGAAATCATTTCATTTTCGAAGTATAAAAGTAAAATATTTACAAAAACTGTTCTTTAGATTTTCTACTTGAAGTACTTTATTGCTCACGCCACATGCGATCTTTTGGATTGTAAAAAAGATGTACTTCTCTTGTCGAATCTGTCAATTGCGTTCGAAGCGTATACATTGGTTCATTGTAATTGCCTTGCCAATGCATTTCAATATAAACGTCCATTTTACCAGTACTATCGTTCACCGGCATTTTGTGTTCGATAAATTCTCGACCTGTGAGTTGTTTGGATTCGTGTTTGGACAGAGTTCCTTGTCGAACGAATATTCTCACTCTTGAAAAAAGTGTATATGGAATGTCTTGATCGACATCGAGACCCATGATCTTAATTTTTTTGTTTTTGAATGGTAATACGTACTCGCCGATGAAGTTCCCATTCAAGTATGGGAATGTCTAATTTGGCCATCAAACCTCGCATAAGATCATCGCACAGGGCGTGAATATTTAATTGAGCCAATGAAGTCATTGGAGTCAATTGTAAATTGCCGATAGCCAATTTACCACCACGTTCCGCAACTGTTTGTGGAACATAAGCTGCTGGTGGGACGCGTAATGACGAGCCTAATACCAGACAAACATCGGCTTTTTCTGCATGTCCAAAACTTGCGTCGAATTCTTGTTGTGAAAGACTTTCGCCAAAGTTAATAATCGAATCCTACAATGTCGAACCGCATTTTGTACATTTGCGCGGTGTCTGATGATCATGATCTTTGATGGCTGTTCGTGTTTGATAATCGCGCCAATATTGCATGTGACAGTTTTTGCATATTTCCAAGTTCGAATTACCATGAACCTCAGAAAACAACGACGATGACAAGTCAGATCTTAGATGAAGACCGTCAATGTTTTGAGAAATAGCAAAATGAAGAAGTTTCCGACGAGCCAATGCGACAAGTGCCATATGTGTAACTGATGGAATTGCTTTTACTAAACTGATTGTACGAGCCGTTGAAGAGCGCTTAGCGTTCGGATGGTCACGAAGTTCCCACACACCTGGCCCGGTTGGTAGAATCGTATTCATACCGGATCGAAAGTCAGGAATACTATACAAAAATGGTATCCGATATTAGCAAAAAAAAAAGGAAAGATAATTTATCCTTAACTTCAACCATTAGGAAAAAAGAATTCACAATCAAAACATGGATGAGACCTTGATTTAGATATTCATTCCAGAGAGAATCAAAATCTTCTGTTTTTATCAGCAAAGCCTGAGAATTTTTTCCTATTTTTCGGTATTCAACTTCCTTCTTCTGAGAGTTCAGTCGTACTCACCCTGTAGATGTTGACACACCTGCACCTATAACAATCACAATTTACAAAGTTACTTTCGTTATTCGAAAACTTTTCTTCGGCTTACCAGTAAACACGATAAAATGCTTTGAATTACGAATCCACTCGACCAATTGGTCAAGTTTCTGATCGAGAACGTCAGGTGGATCGATAATTTCTTTTTTTGTGGGATCTTCATCTGCTATGCCATATGGTCATATCCTAATAAATTGATTAGACTTTTTTCCACCGATTGCAATCTGAAATCTTTTCGATTTATATATACTGCGTGCATGCGTCGATGTAGAGTTGACAACAATTCAAACAAGAGCGTTGGCACAACAATGACGCCTTGTCGTCATTTGCTATGTGCGCCACTGACGTGAGATTGAAAGTAAAAACAATAGAACCAGAAAAATTTGACAAAAGAAACGCATTTCGTTTTTTTCTTTTCAGAATTGATTTGAAAACCGTGACCTTATTCTCTTTGACAATACTCTTAGATTGTATTCAAAAGCGCATAGTGTGGGGTACATATCGGCACTAAATTTGAAACACCCGAGTAACATCTTAATGGATTTGGGTGTGAGTGTGGGTGCGAATGTGGCTGGGTGTAGGTGGATGTTGGTATAATTAAAAACCGATCCACACCCACACCCACACCAATCCGCTGCCAACTTCAAAAAAACATAATGCAATATTTATTTTTTAATTCCTACGATTTATTGAGTAATGAGGATTTTTGAATAGTCTGATCGTTGAAAAGTCTGTTCATAGGCTTTTATTTTGATATGTTTTAAAAAAATGAATTGAATGGTATCAAGTCAAAATTCAAGCAATTAAGAACAGATATTATCTATAAGTCTTTCCGAAAATAGAGAAAAAATTCAATCTTTGTGTTTGGGTTAAACTTCACATATTTGAACAGTACTTTCGAAGTTTGTTTGTATCAATAAAATTTGGTACATTTACCTATCATTTAAAAAAAGATAGTTGACCAAGTTAGATAAAATTGCAAACATATGCAAAAAAAAATGAACTGAAAGAGTCTTTTGGAACACCCAATTAGGGTTACCAAGTGAAAAAGATGTCAGATTACATTCTGATTTTTTTGTATCAAAATGAAATTGATAATCGAGTGCAATCTTTTAAATTAACCGTAATTTGATTTCAATCAAAAATTATTGTTTTAATTTTTGATTGAAATCAAATTATAGTTAATTTGGAAGATTTCGATCGATTATCATTTTCATTTTGGTGCGCAAAAATCGGATTAATATTTGATATAATCGGGTATAAGCTGACATTTTTTTATTGGGTAAGGATAAGGTTAAGAATAGAAATGCGAGTTAAGGATAAGATTAAGGATAGGGGTAAGGATAGGAATAGGTGGTTAAGGATAAGGTTAAGAGATAGGCATAGGTAGTTAAGATAAGGTTAAGGATAAGGATAAGAATAGAAATAGATAACTAAGGATAAGGTTAAGAATACACTAATGATAGGAATAGGCGGTTCAAGATAAGATTGAGGATAGAAATAGGTAGTTAAGGATAAGGTTAAGGATAGAATTAAGAATAAAGTTAAGAATAGAAATAGGGATTAAGGATAGATATAAGAGTTAGGAGTAGAAATAATGAGCTAAGGATAGAAATAGGTCGTTAGATGTAGAATCAATCAGCAGCAGTAGACAAAGAGTCTCGAATGAATTGGTTTCTAGCTGGCTAGAACCATTTTTAAAAGAAAGAAAAAAAAGGTTTGAGATAGAATCGGACTATGCTCGAACCTTAAAAGGTTCTAAAAATGGTACCCAAATCTAGAACCTTTTATGGTTCAGTATGACATGTGTTTTTTTTACAGAGCACCCACCCACATTCACACCCTGCCACCATTGAAAGAATTTATGCAAATTTTGTTGTAGGTCTACTTTGAAATATATATTTCTGGCACATCAATCTTTTATCCTACGGTTTTTGTTGTAATACTATACGATATTGTATATCATCTTGTAATGAATAATTTCATTTTTTCCGCATGATTTTGGATGGTGAAGTAGTTTTTTCTGCAAGAGTAAAGAGGGAAAAGTTCAAATAACTGTTTGTTTCGAGAAAAAACAGAATATATATATATATATAGGAAGAGAGAAGACACAACTGAAAAATCCAGGAAAAAAACAACAGTAGAAGATGAAATAATGGTAGTGGTTCAGTCATGTCCAGCTGTCAGCGACATCTCTGAAGCAAAATGTTTTTGTTATCACTACTAATGAGATAGCTCAAAAATGGTAAAATGTTTGTCATTATGTTGATTATTTTCAATATTCTTGATGCTCAACCAATACCAGCTCCCAAAACTATACCATTCAAATCGCAGCGAACACGGACACGATCATGACGTACATCGCAGGTCGACATACTGTTTGAGTATAGTATTTCAACGTTGAGATCTGTTCGAAATACAATAAAGAACAATAATTACCACAATGCACTAATGACAAAAGTGAAAGGCATAAAATAGATCGAAAGATAAGTTGTCCAAACAAAAGCTTAAAAATAAATACGTCGAACGATGAAAACATTGTATGACACTTTGAAAAACACTGTCGAAAATGTTAACCAACAATGGGTCATATTATTCAGACGTAGATAAGGGTGTGAGAGTACGTATAGATGAATGTAACACATACACTCACATCTAAACCTCATCCCACTCTACACTCACAGCACACACCATGGCTATTGTTCTTTTTATGCCAATAATTGTATTACGCAAGAAACAGTAACCAAGAATATTGTAAGATAACGTTAGATGTAAATAAAACACAAATTAATGGTAATTCGTCTATTTACTCTTTCCTTTTACCTTTCGACATTTTTATACGTTCAAGATTTTCATCATTCGACATTTTTTTCTATTTCTCGTGTTTCAATCTCTTCTAAATGTACCACAAGAGAAGAATAAAGAAATATTTTTACTTTCAAAATGAAACAAAGAAAGTTCATTAGAGGGCTGTTATTATCGACTTACCCGGATCGTCGCGTTTAATTTCTGCAACAGCCTCTCCGACAGGTTTGCCAACCAAATGTGACCATGATTTGAACTCCCGTCTTTGGTTTCTCGGTTCGTTCCTATAATATCATTTGAACCGTTTTTTTCTAATGAATTATTCATTTTTTCATGAAATCTTGAGAGTGAGGGTGTGATGATGGGGTTTAGCTATGGATGCGGCTCGATAAGACCGATATCATTCCAATTCTATCCGCATCCTCAAGAGGATCCTCTAGGTGACGATGAAATTGCGAGAATGGTAGCATAAATGCCTATCACTTACACCGGAGATGACATGCATATCATTCCCATGTGTTCGAATGCGATCGAATTGCGACGCAGTTACGCGTAACTGCGATTATTTTAGGAGTCAGTGAGACCACCGGTCGAAAGTCCTAAAATAATTCCAGCCCAATCCGAAAATTCTGCAGGCCAAAATTCATATAACCCACCCTTATTTCTCATTGTGTTCCTTTCAATTATGTCCGAAACAGTTTTTCAATCGCGTCATCTTTAGTTTTTCTTAGAGAATTTTCAAACCCTCATGATCCTTAGACACTCTCTATTCGAAATCAATTAATACTTGAGTTTATTAGATCAAGGTCTAGTTTTTGAATAAATTCGTCTTCATTTATTTAAAAGATTTTATTTATTCTTGATTATTTAAAAATAATACAACACTCATCAAAGCTATAAATATATTAGAACATCATTGTCTTTTATTTCTCATTTAAATTTTTAATAAAAATCATCCTGTTGCTTCCATATTTATCACTTTTGCATGCACAAATAAAGTTGCTGTTGTTGGAGAATTATGTCTATCAAGTAATCGAATATGTCGATATCCTTTAACAAAAAAGAAATAAATATATATAAATTTCTATTATTTATTTACCAGATTGCATTGAAAGAAATGGAATTGAATATTGACCAAGATCCGTATTACTTTTATCACTATCTTTAACTGAAAATCTTATAAGACATAATTCCGGAATACAAATTGAAAATTGCATTAAATGATTCCAAATTGGATTTAAACCATTTGTTAATACAGCTGAAGTCTTTTGTTCATTTTGATCTAAAAACAAATCAAATTCGGACCAATTATTATTATTTTTTTTTTGTTGTTTCTTACCACAACGAACACCATAAATTTTTACTTTGACAAATGGTGATACAGGTGATGTATCATGTTGATTTCGTTTTGGTAAATGTTGTGCACTAATTATCTATAATTATCAATATATTTAAAAATTGCACTTTTTTAAAAACAACAATACTTTACACAAAGTTCTAATTTTAATGGTCTTCGTTGAGCCAGAAGATAAGCAGTAAAACAACTATTTGGATTAAATGTTGTATTACCTATTTAAACAAGATATTTTGTTTCTTTTTTTGTTTTATTTTAAATTACTAAAAAATTTATTACTTTCACGTAAAATTGCTGGTTTTAAAATATATCCACATTGATTGTTATCCGTAAATCGACCATGATTAAGTGACATTGATACATCACCTGTTTGAAAATTTAATGCAACTAGGAATAAAAACAAACAAACAAGAGATGAATCTTAAAAAAAACTAAATGACAGAATAAAATATATTCGTACCCATTTGTACACCTGCATTCCACAATGAAACAGTTTCAACATTACTTGAATCTTGTCGATAAGCAGATGGATAAACACGTATAATTAAACGTTGATTATTTAGGATAAGATCAAGTGTACGCTGATCAACTAATGTTAATGCTTTATTTTCTGATAATGATGATGATTGACTATGTTTATCTAATATTACAATAAAAAATGTTTAAAAAATATTTATATAAATTACTAACATTTTTTAGCAACTGTAAATCCTTTGAATGTTGCATTATGACAAGCAATAAGAGCAGCTAAATCTTTACAAATAACCTATATTGAAAATAAATGAAATTACAAGAGAGAGAAAGAAATAAAATAAAATATTACATACGGAAACATCTGGATCGAAGCATTCATCTTCATTACTATAATCAATTGATGAATCATTCTTTGGTGTAACTCGTCCCTAATAATATGTAAACGAATGTTTGTTTTTTTTAAATTTAAAATGTAAATCAACATACTCGAATGATGATACGTTCTTTTAATTGCTCTGGTGATGGCCAACTTGTACATGCATTAGCTTCTTCAGCTGTATATATTGATGCTAAAATAAATCAATAATCTATATATTAATTCAATTCAAATAGAATTATAAATCTCACAGCCGAATTCATCGAGTAATAATTTCGCGACAAGATATTGTTGTTTATTTGAACAATGATTTTCAAGATTGAGAAATAATGGATATCTTAAGAAAATAAATTCTTAAAATTATCTTAAAAAGTAAAATAACATACGGTGAAGCACAAAATGCAAATTGTTTTATTTGTGTAAGAATTTCACCTAAATAAGCATCTTTAATAAATGTATATGCATGTCGAACAACTGGTCGTCCATCTGCTCCATCATGAAGATCGACTAGAATGATTAAATTATGAATAATTATTTAATCTTCGAATGAATTCTATTGCACTTACGTTCAACAGATCGACAACCTCGTTGCAATGCTTGAACATATGATTCACCAGTACATTTACCTACCATTTGGCTTGCACATAGATATCTGAATGAAAACAAATACATAAACACATGACAATTATATTTGAAATAAATAAATTCTTTCTTACGTATTATGTGAAGTATTGATCCAATAATGAGTTAATGGTTGAGTCATATCTTGATAAACTTTATTTCGATGTTCCGGTTTCATTAATTGATTTTCATCACTTAATAACATTTCTCGAAGGCCTTTGGTTTATTTAAAAAGAAATGTTTCTTATTAAAAACAAGTTTATAAAAAAAAAAATTCTAACCATCAACACCCATTTCAATACATTCTTTTCCTTCTGTTGATGGATCAAATTTTTTAATTAATTCTGCAATTTCAGCCAATGATAATGCTTGCTAATTAAAAAAAATTTAAATACAAAATAATAAGAATCACATTTTTCTACATACTTTTTGTTCATTTAACATAAATTCTTTGACTTCTTCAATAGTCATATAATTATTAGTCATCGAACTTATTGGTATTGTTCCAGAATGTGTTGGAAACGATAGTTTTGAAAGTATCATCGCAGGTGTTACAGCACTTGATTGTTCAATAAGTGGACTCAATACCGAACAAATAATAGATATTGTTGGATTTCCATTACATGTACAAAGTTCACATGATCCACTATAACTAAAATTTAACAAAACAACAAAAAAAATAATTGAATTTTAGATCTCATAAAAACATACATATGAATAATATGCATTAATTCAGGTCGATAAGTTAATATTTTATAAAATGTTATAAAATCTTCTACACGAAGTCGTCCTCGTAATTTCGCCAGACGTAAATCTGTTTGCTAAAATATTTGATTAATCTTATTGTGCGATAAAGCAAAAACAAAAAATTGTTTTTTTTTATTTATTTACTTCAAAATATTGTTCAAATTCATCGGTTGTTAAACGAACATTTAATTTTTCTAATAATTGATGAACTTCATCTTTACATAAAAGACCATTTCGATCACGATCAGCTTCATTAAATAGACCTTCAAGCCATCTAAATATGATTTATTTACATATAAGAATTATTCTAATTAGATAATTCATATATACCTATCAGTAATTTTCGTATAAGGTTTTCCAATACTATCATGAATAAGCATTTCTAAACCTTGAACCCAAATATCACGTGTTTCTATATCATTTGCAAGTAAATCTAAACTTTTTCGTCCACGACTATGTAAAATTGAAAAAACTAAATCACCCTATGATATCATATTATTATTATTATTTGAATGAATTTAAGTCAAAAAAATATATATTACCTGTTGTTCTCGTACTTTTCCTAGACGAAGAACTTTTAACCATGTATCTGTTTTGAAACCAGCTCGAACTTCACAATCTTTTAGAAGATCTATTTAAAAAAAGAAACAATAACAAAGCTGAGAATAAAAAGAAAAGGATATGTTTGATATTACATTCATTTGTCGAATTTTGAGAAAAGTTTTTTGATGGATTATAACAAAGAGATTTAAGTTTTGGACAAATATAGAAGAAACCTTCATTTAATGAACCATCATCATTTAATTTAACAAAAAGTGCACCTTCTTGAAGTTTATTCAATAAAATATTCTTTATATTATCCATCGCTGAATAAAATTTTATGAATATGACTGACGCTATCTTCTTTCTATAATAACTATGTCAAATGTTCATTATCAATATTTGCTATGTCTGTTAGTTGTTGCTAGTAGGTCTCACTCTCTCTCTCTTCTACTATTTTTTTATTGCTTCAACAGAAGTTATGACGTTAAATTACTTTTTTTTTCTTCAAATAAAGTTCTCTTTTTTTTTACACACATCATAGCAATGTTTGACTAATAGACATGTTGGAAAAATTATTAATAAAAAAAAGGGAAAATAACGGTTAATATTTTTTTATAATAATTTTGCAGCAATAATATAGAACGGAAATGCTTTTTTTTTGACATATGTATGTAAATTTTAAGAAAAATATTAGTTTTTATCTAAATATTTATTGACATACGTCATTACAATGAATATTTTCAATAATATTTTTTAAACAAGAGAATTGATTTACGAACTAAGATTATACTAAAAAACAAAACCTTCGCGCCTAATCTAAAAAATAAAAAATAGTTGTTGTTTTTGTTTCAATATATCCTATGTTGTTCATTAGTTCTTAAAATCTGTTTATTCCAATATATTTAATGGGTAATAGTTCAAGTTCAACTCACAGTAGTGAAGAATCGAATATAGAAGCTCGTGAACGATTTAATTTTCGATTTACTGATTGTTCATGTAAATGTGATGCAAGTAAACGACGTATAGGAGATATCTATAAACAAAATGATTCACCACAAGCAGCTCTTCTTACTGCACTTATAACACAAATAAGTCGTTCACAATATGAGATCAGTAAGATTATTTATTTTTCTTTGTAAGCTACAGACAAATGCATACTCATGAAAATTTTCAGATTGTGATTGTGATTGTGGTGAAGGTGTTAAAATGGGCTTTCTCTTTGATAATACATCACCGAATATTCAACAACAAACGACCAATAATCGTTCGGAATCATAATTAATTTGCAAAATAATTTTTATTATTAAAAATAAACTGAATTGTTTCGTATGCATTGAATGATGCTCTTATCTTCCTGATTTTCTTTTTTTTTTCATGATATTCAAAAAAAAAACAAAATACTAATAATAAATTTAATAAAAAATTTATTATTTTCTACATAATGATCATCATTCATTATCGAGTATACATTTACTGGGAGAAGCTATTCAATTTTTTGCTTTTCTTATATGAATTTATTCAGAACTTCTATTGATCTTCATAGTATCTCATAACGGAGTTTTTTTTTGAAAGTTATCTATGTCAAATAACACTATTCAGAGATATTAATCACAACATGAGTATTTAAGACTTTTTAATACAAATAAGTTCTAAAACAATTTTCTCTAACGAGGGAAGCTCTCGAGGTACTAAAAAGTTTTCGAGCTCAAATTTTGTTCACAAGTAGGCGATGTATCGACTAGAAAAATCCTAAGATGATATTGGTGCAAGTTACGATTTGGCTAAGATAATCGACTTTTTACTATAATTCTCCTGTCGGATCCCATTTTTCCGGTAAAATCAAAGTTTCGAATTTTGGTCTGAAACTTTGCTCACATAAAAATCTCTACCAGACTAGCTTGTCTAAAAAGTTTCAAAATTTTTGGACAAATCATCTCTGATATATGAGTATATTAGCTTAACGACACTTTTGTAGGCATATTGTGTTATGTGTGGATATTTTGAAAAATTCATATCTCAGAGAAGATTTGTCCAAAAATTCTGAAAGTTTGTAGGCAAGCTAGTCTGGTAGAAACCTTCATATGAGCAATGTTTTAGGTCAAAATTCGAAACTTTGATTTTACCGGAAAAATGGGAACCGACGTAAGAATTATAGTACAAAGTCGATATCTTAGCCAAATCGCAACTGGCACTAATATCATCTTAGGATTTTTCTAGTCTACACATCGCCTATTTGTGGGCAAAATTTAAGCTTAAAAGCTTTTTAGCATCGCGGGAGATTCCCTCGTGAGTCTCTCCAATCCTATTCACCTCACAACAACATTGTCTACTTATTTTTATTTTTTAACTTTCTACTAGAAAAAGACAAACGGTCTTTCAAAATCTGATTAAGTTATCACAAAGCTCTAAAAAAAAATCTGTCAAAAGGCATTAAGAATTTTCGAAGAAAGTCGGACATATGGAGAAGAGAAGCTTTCATAATCGACAGAGAATAATGGTATTTAAGAGTAGACTTCAGCAAGTGGTGTAGTCAGCAATTTTTGATTTTACGGGCTATTGTCACTATGTTCAAAAAATCGATCGACAGCAACTTTTAAAGCAGTAGGCAATTGCCTCACAGCCAAGGGGGAAAAAGCGAGACTTCAATACTTCACATTTTTTTTGAAGTACCGTGAAGTATAACTGAAGTAGCATGAAGTATCAGTGAAGTATCGTGAAGTATCGTGAAGTACCGGTGAAGTACCGGTGAAGTACCAGTGAAGTATCGTGAAGTATCGTGAAGTAATGAAGTATTGAAGTCTCGCTTTTTCCCCCTTGCTCACAGCCCATTGCTGTATATACCATTGACTTTAATATATCTTTAATTTATGATAATTTCATATAAACACTCAAAAAGATAATTATTATCATCGATGCTACTAACTACTTCAATAATTTCGTCATTCATTTATAGTAGTTTCTAAACGATGAATATGTTTTATTCTAATGCAATTTTAAAGACTAATCAATCACTTCGAAAAAAACAAGAACACACAAAAAAAGATTCTTTTAAAATCAATTAATTAATAGTTCTATGGATTATAGAAGATATGAGATAGATTTCTTTCAACCATCATTTTCTTCATCTTCATCATCATCATCATCTTCTTCTTCTTCATTGTCACTATCTAAATTTGTATCTATGACACATAATTTATCTTTATTTGTCATTATTTGTGAGTAATATTGATTAAAAATAAATAATATACGACGTGCTTCTTCTTCATTATCTGGAATAAATTGAGAAATAATTGAAATTTGATCTGTATATGAACCAACAACACGTTCCTAAATATAAAAATTTTAATATTTATTATTATTATTATTTTTTTTTGACAATGTAACAACTTACTGGAATAATTGAATTAATAATTAATGTCCAAATTTGTTCATTAATTATTCCATTTGTTATAATTTCTTTTAATCGCATTTTTTTAGGATTTACATTATTAATTGTTATCGGTAAAGATTGATTAACTATTTGAAAAGGTTTGAAAATAATTTGTGGTAATAAATCTCCTTGTTTATATGATAAAACAGATACAGAACAATGTGGTGCAATATTACCAAATTGCCATTGATCTAATGATGCACCTGACATAAGAAAATTAATAATATTACTAAGAAGATTTCCATGTGAAAAAATAACATAATTTTTTGATGTTTTATTAAGATTAGAAGATGTAGAAAAAAATAAACGTTGAATTTTTTTCCAACGTTCATGAAAACGTTCAATTGAATGTATTTCATTCCAACATTTAAAACATTTATAAATATTATCAAATGATTGTTCAAGTCTTTCGATTTCTTCAAGACGATGACCTGTTATTAGACCTGTTTGATAAGTACGTTTATAACCGGATTGAATTAAATCTGTAAAAAGGATACGAGATGATTTATTTGAAGATTTTTCTATTGAATGTGCAAGTACATTGATTGTTTCAGCTGCTGCATATGCCTAATTAATTTTAATTGTCTAATTCAAATTGATTAACATATTAAAATATTACCTGTTTTCTACCAAGTTCAATAAGACCATCATCTTTACGACTTGTTGATAAATAGATGCCATGTCGAATAAGAAAAAAATATTGAGGATCTGATTGAACAGACAATGATGATGATGATGATGATGATACTGTCGGTGATTCGACATGTTTTGATGAAGCTTTGCTAAACAGTTTGTTTCTTTTGTTTTTTTTTATTCGAATAATACAATTTCGCACATAAATATATGAATGAAAAAAAAGCAATTTTATAATATCATGGTTACATCATTATAATTTGATGAATAGAAATTAAAAATTATTTTAATCTTACACAAAGGAATATATCTAACTGTCGGACGTCATAGTAATGACTACGAGTAGATTTCTATGACATTAAGAAAAGTTTAAAAAGATTCAAGCTCATGATCTATTTTGCTAGTTATTAGATAGACCTAAAAATTCCAACGAATACGAATACATCTTTTTCAAGATATTTAATTTAAAAAGGAAAATAGCGGTTTACTATACAAGGATACAGTCATCAAGTCTATTTGGAAATTGATTATCTTGAGAAGGACGCATTCAGTCTTGTTGAAATTTTTGCCGAAGTCTATGATTGATAAGTTGTAAGTTTTTTTCTTCTTAACTTTATCTAGAGGAGTCCTCAAAGATTTTCGATAGTTGCAAGATTGGGTGACATAGACGAACCATCAATTTTATGAACCTTATTATTCATTTTTCAATCGGTTACTAGTTGTGCCATGTATTTGACGCCGTTATTTTGTTAAAGTTTCCAATGTCGAATCTTGTTTGAATTGTTAGAAAAAGACCATACGTATAAATATCATATTTCAATTTCGCGTATAAGTTCTATTTGAAACAGACGACACATCGACTTGGATAAGATGTTTGACGATTTTCTTTTTTACTTGTAAGTTCCAAGCAAATCCTTTGACAAAGTTCAGACGGATGGTGATCTTATCAGAAAAGCTGTTAGCATAATTTCTGCTGGATCAAAATGTGAAACATGATATAGCCTACGAACTAGTCTTTTTTATGTATACTGATTCATATTTCTTCATCATTGCTTACTTTACAGCATAGCACTTCAACAAGAAAATACTCCATAAATATTTCGATTAAGTGTTAGTTGTACATCACTTTTGATAGTCCCTTCAAGTCGGCTGCCACCGTCTGTGACGGTCTCTGAAAGGTGTCTATGATGGGTTCGGACTCTGTCTGTCGCAGTCTATTGCGGGAAGAAGAGGATGCAAACTTCTACCCTATATACTTCAACACTCCTGTCAGATCGTATTTCAAAAAAGATGACTTGTTCTCAGTTGAAAGTCTTGCCATATTGCGTCCATTTTAAATGATTCTTTTCGTAACCTTCCGTTAGCAATATCTGTAACATAAATCGATCGTATTTCGCATCTGCTTCACTCAAGCACCATCATACTGTTCTCTCATTGACTATAACCCGTCTCTGCTGGTGACAAATGTTCGGATCGGCTTGAATCGGTCACATCTTTTGACTTATTCTATTGTTTGCGCCGATATTCTACCGTTGTCACGTCATAATGAGGTGCACTAATTAACACAATACACTAGAACTAATGATTAGTAACAAAATCGAAGGAATGAATAATGATTCGGATCAGAAAATAGCTAGTACTGTCTATTTATATTAGTCTTATGAGAAGTTCTAGTAATCTCTAGTAGGGAGATAGACACTTTTGTCTACATCAAATGAAAGTTTTATCAACTGAAACTTTGAAAAAATCAAAAGCTTTGTAGTACCTATTTGACAGAAAACCAAAAAATATATATGTACATATGTATAACATAGAAACGTCAAGCAGAACAATAGAATGTATACATTTTGTATAGAAAAGTTCAACATTTATTAATCAAGTACAATAATTTCTGATTGTTGTTGTTGTTGTTTCGATTTTTTTACATTTGAATATTCAGTATTTCTTGTTGATTGTCTTTTTGTAGCCACTGGTTGTGATACGGATGAAACATTATTTGTCAATCGTTGTTTGTAAAGATTATAGATTATTTCATTACCAATTAAATTTTGTTTACGTCGTGGTATTAATGTTTCTACATCACTCTCTTTTTGAGTGATTGATGATGATTGAATATTATTATAAATTTCTGATTCTCGATTATGTGTTGTTTTTTTAATAGGTAATGAAGCTGTTGATAAAATTGTTAATGCACGATCATTAAGTGATATTTCAACTGTTGTTTCAATAGAATTTGATTCCGATAGATTTTGAATTATTGGGTCTGGTGCTACAAACAAAAAAAAAAGAACTTTTTTTGGTTTTAATTAAAAAAATCTAAAATTATTGATTTTACATGTTGCTGTAACTATATCGACAATATCATATTGTATTTCATGTGATTCTATGGTCATTTGTGGTTCTTCTTGTTCATTATTTTCGATTGATGATTCATTTTGTTTATTATTTTCATTTTCGAATTCATCTTTGTCATTATTTTCATTTGCTGATTCATCTTCAGTTGATTCAATATTGATTTCACCTTCTGGATCAGGTTCAATTTTTGAAAATTCTTCAAAAATCTTAATAAACATAAAAATAATTTATATATTGAAAATTTTTGTATTTATATTTAACATACTTTTTCAGTTTTAATAACAGCTTCGCGATTATTTTCTGTTAAAACTTTTTCAATTTCAGCATTATTTAATGCTGGATCATCTTTTTCAATACTAAAATAAGTACACAAAAACAATACATATACGGCCAGATCGATGATTCTAGACTTCAGAATACAATCGAATTCCACTAGAACCAGCGAAAAAACATTAGAAATTGATCGAACTTGGTAGAAAAGCCTTCAGATTTTTCCTGCCAGAACTAGCTCATACTCCTTGACCTGGATAACAAATTATCGAAAAGTATTTTGATAACATGTTCGCTGATTTTTTCAACCTCTTAAAGAAATCTGTAGAAATTTGCGTCCTTCACAGATACCTTACTGCCAATGACAAAATGCTTGTGAATCATGTTATTAATGGATACTTCTATGGATAACCAGTCACAAAAGACATAAGGTTTTCAGAAGATTTTTTGGCACTGTAGAGCTTATTACGCTGATCATTTTGATAAAAACTAAATAATGACGCTAGGATCAAAATACTCCCAGATTGCTGCTGAGCAATAGTTGACGTTTTCAAGTATTTTGATCCTAATACCTTAATTTATTTACTAAAATGATCAGCGTAACGAGTTCTACAGACGAAAGAAATTTTCTGACAACTGTGTGTTTTTTGCAGTATCCATCAAAAATATCATTCCCAAGCATTTTGTCATAGGTCAAAAGCCATATATCAATAACGTCGCATTATAATAGTTCACACAGAGATTGCACCAATAACTTTTGTATTCATTTTCTGAGGATAACTTCAAAACTTTTGTAGAATTTCTGGTTTAAAATTTTTGAACTAATCTGTTCGATGCTCGAAAATTAAGTTTGAACATGTTTCAGCACGTCAAAACTTACTCAAAGTAAAAGCGAAAATAATATCTAATACAACGAATGAAAGAGCAAATACTTATGTGTTAATTTTCTCGATTTCTATGGTACACAGACTTGTAAAGTAAGTTTGATCATTCCTAAAACTCTTGATTCTTATATTACTTTATAGTTCCTCTCCCCAAATTTAATTTTCGAGCATCTAAAAAGCTAAATCAGTTCGATATAACCCATTTTATTAAAAAAAAAAAACAAATTTAATTTTCTCTCACTTAAAATCTTCGGGCAGACGACTGTACATAATATCTTGAAAATCAGCCATACGTCGATTTTTAATTTCTTTACCAATAATTTTAAAAGATTTTTCAGCAAAATTTTTTCGAACTTCATCACTAAAATTCAATTATATACAAATATTTGATTAAAAATAAAATAAAATTTCGTTTTTTACTTAAGATTAAGTTTATATTTATTATTTGCTTTTTCGACTGTATCAAGAACATCACTAAATGAAGGAAAATGTTTTGATTGATTAACCATTTCTTGTAGATCTTTTTGTATTAATGTATGACCAATATCAGATTCTTAAATAAATTAAAATATACAAATATATATGTATGAAAGAAAATAATTTACCGTTGAGAATAATTGGTTGATGAATAATTCTTTCAATTGATGATGATTGACTTTTAAGTTTAGCAAGTTTAGTATGCATCTAAAAATAGTTTAAAAAAAAAATTTTTTTTTGTCATATGTTAAAAGAATATTTATTCAACTTACTTCACATGCTTGTTTTTTTAAATTTGATTCAACAACATATAAATCACAATGTGCCATTTCATCAAGTGACATATCTTTTTCTTCTAATTCACGTATTATTCGTGATAAACGATGTAATCGTCGTTCTAATTTTATTATTTTTCGTTGATGTCTTGAATCATTAGTTGAATGTGTACGAATTGATATTATATTATCAAGAGAAGCTGGTTTTGATAAAGTTGATTCAGACAAAATATTACAACATTTATCTAGAAGATGATTAATTGTTTCTTGTACATCTCCTATTGATGTTTCATATTCAATAGTAGATTTTGATAGATTGACAGGAACTGTTGTGATAACTGTTTCATTTACTGAAATATTTGCAATATTAGTAGTCATGGAAGATGAACATTTGAAAATTTGAGTTGATAATGAATTTGATCTAAGCAAAAATATTAAATTTTATATTTAACTTATAATTTATTATTAGATCAACTATGAAATCAGCTAAGGATTCAACAGATAAAATCGATATAACAAAAGGAATCAAAACAATGTAAGAAAGAGCATCTGTTATATCAAACTAGTTTTTGGAAGATTATTTTATTTAAATTTCAAATCGAACAGAACGACCTGTAATAGGTCGTAAACTTAATTATCTTATATATCAGTTCTAATGTTTCATAGAAGTATTTTAAGGCGATTGAACTGCGCTTTACTCTTTTTTGTTAATATCAGGCCATAATTAATTTTTTCGAGCTAGTTCAAGCATCGATAGATAGATTTTCTTGAGATCTATTCGACGATATGACATACACTCTACAAAACACCATGTCTATATCTTGCTGTTCGTAAACGTTTAAGAACAACTAGTGAATTACGTGTTAAAAAGTTCATCCTTGAAATTATGGCTTTTTTTTTATTAGTGATCTACTTTATTCAATCGTTCGTATAATAATAGAAAGTATAAGTAGGATGTTACTCGAAGTACAATTCGACTAATGAAAATACAGTCCTAATGCTGTGCATCGAGTTTTTTTATTGAAACGATTCCAACTTTTTGAATAGTTTAAAGTATCGTTTGAAACGGTCGGAATGATCGATCTGGGTGGATACGCATGATAAAATCGATTTCTCATTCAAATGTTAAATATGATGAATATGAAGAGAGAAAAGCAATTTTAAATAGTTTGCTCTCGTTTAACTATTAGATACTTCAGGGCTGAGCGAGTCCAAATCATGTGATAACTACCACCGATTAGAGTCCTTCGCCAGGTGCAAAAACCACTTACTGGACCCGGTCAAAGAAATGTCAGCCGTTCCGTCATTTTTTTGTGCTAATACATTATTCAAACGCTCATCTTTTAGGGAAATTCGTTCTCTTTCATCTCATCTATTTAGAGAAGCGTTAGAGTTCTTCACAACCGAAAATTTTTAATAGAGAAAGTCCGGATCCAAACTTGGACTCGCTGAGACCCGGAGTTTTGCTTGTAAAAACTTTTCACCATCATGAACTCTAATGCTTCTCTAAATAGATGAGGTGAAAGAGAAAGTATTTCCCTTCAAAATGAACGTTTGAGTAACGTATTAGCACAAAAAATGATGGAACGGCTGACATTTCTTTGACCGGATTCAGCAAGCCATTTTTGGACCCGATGAAGGGCTCTATCGTCGGTTCTTTTTATTCAAGCTTGTAAAAACTAACAGAATTGAGTTGATCTCGATGTCTCCTGCTAATCTTGATACGTTTCAGCCGCCTGTACTAGCCATAGAGCTCATATTGGTCCCAGTTATGAGATAAATGTTTATTATAGATGGGGCTGCTAAAGTTTTTATTCTGTAACTGTTTTCTTTTCGGTTTATTTGAATTCTTTCTAATAAATAATTCGAATAGAAAACACTCTCTGGAATCGTGTTGATAGTTGAAACTGAAAGTCATAAGCGCTATCGCTGGTTCTTACAAGTGCCGCGGTATACCGGTGGTAATGTGAATAAATATGTGACATGATTACTATTCTTACTTTTTTGATAAGCCTATAGTAGTTGTGTCACTTTATTTTATGTAGGACTATTGATATTTTGTTTTTTGTGCATGAAAATTAGGCACAAGATGATATCATATCATGGAAAACTTGTTGTAGACGTTCTTTATACAAAAAAACGAAAAAAAAAAGTAACTTGACTTGTCCTACGCTGCAGCACAAAAGATCAATTAATCACCCTACGATACAACAGTAATGGCTAAAAAATGTTAATCTTTATTTCTCTTCAATACAAAATTGCTAAAAGAAAACATTTTTTACCAAATGATAGAGTTTTTTCTCCTCTTCCGAATCGTATATAACTTTTTTTTAAAAATATTTTCGTAAACGAAACGATGCAACAGAAAAGAGAAATATCGTTAAAAAGAATCGGTACTTTTCGTGATATTTAGAAAATGGCGCAAACTATTGATCCTTATACATATCTCTTTGATAAACACGTTTCTCCGTCTTAATCGAAAATTCTGGTCTTGTCTGTAGCAGATGGAAATTTTTATCCTATAAACTTCAACATTCCTATTAGGTCGTGTTTCACAAAAACTCCTTGAGTGCATGTGCTAATCGAACTACATTGTACATAGTATTAAATTATACAATCGAAACTAATAGTTACTCGAATACAAACTCATTTATCTATTAGAGTTTTATTTTGATTTAATAGAAAAAATATTTTTAATATAATAATAATTACTTTGATAATTTAATTGAATGTCTTTTAAGTTGTTCATCAAATGAAGCTAATAAAGTAAAATATTTTGTTGATTTATTATTTTCAATAAATATATTTTGAATATGATTTAGTGATGAAATAAATTCATTTGAACATAAATAATCAGATGTTGTTGTATTAAAATGACGTCGAAGTTTATTTTGAATAATATTTATTTCATTTTCACATGTTAGAACATTACGAATTAGAGATAGAAACTATACAAAAAGAAAATTTTTTAAAATAATTATTATCAAAAAAATCTAAATTTACCTTTTCAAATTTAAGTTTAACTTCATCAAAACTATGATTCTTCATCTAGAACAAAAAAAAATACGAAAAAAGACAAACAAAATATTTTATTCAACTATCTTCATCCATTGCATTATTATCATCAACATCATTATCACTTTCAATTTCATAATTTTCAATTTTTTCAATAAATTTCTCAAGTGTTTCATCGGGAAATTCATGTTGAGCACGAAATGCAAGTTTAACTGTTTGTGTTGGTGTATCACCAGTAAAATCTTTTGCTTGTTCAAATATAAGATAACCTTCTTTAACAAAATCATTTTTAATTAATTTTTGTACATCACCAAATATTTTATGCTGATTTATTGTTAAACGTGTTGATTCATCATTACGAATAGAAAATGTTTCACCAAGTATACCCCAAAAATCAATTGATGTCATTTCACCACCAGCACGTTTTAAACAAGCTATAATTATCATTAATAATGCATATTTAGAATATTGATTTGAATTTGCTAATGGTCGATGTTCAAGTGAACCTTGTTTTAAACCATTTATTAATACATAACCTTAAATATGAAATTTTAAAAAAATCATGTTGTTTGTTTTTTTTTTGTTGTTTTTTTCTTACCATCATGTTTTTCATCAAAAATAAGTTTATAACCAAATGTATCATTTAAAATTTTAACAACATGTTTATGTATAGTAGGAAAATATTTTCGTCCATCATTAGCCATCGGTCGAAGTACTGTATTAATCCATTCAAGTCGTTTAATAACTTGTGATTTCGAATTATGAACTAATATATATTGAATTGACGCACAAATCATTTGTCGACAATTAGCATCATCTTCTAATATATGATTATTATCATTATCATCATCATAATCATCTGAATTATTTCTATTAATTGATAATTGAGAATTTGTTGCAACTTGAGAATTTTTTTTTGGTGGCATCGTGACAATTTATTTTTTGGTTATATTTCAAATGAATATGATTCGTTATTTTAACAATAGTATTTATTTGTTCTTCATATTTACCAATAGAATTTGACGATAGATGGTGTAAGAAAAGAGCTTTATAATGGGTTTTTTGACATTTCACTATGATTGATAAGAATATAGAACAATAATACACTGTACTGCATTATTCGATATGTCTCAAGGTCATCATGATTGCGAGCATTGATCGATGACTGAGGAGGCGGATTGGAAGAAAGTAAGCTGCATTTGTTTGGGAAACATGGACAGTGGCGGAGCCAGGGAGCTCAGGTTTCGTTTATGAAACTTTGTCCGTAAGGAAAGCTAAGCCCCCTGACTCCGTAATTGGATGTGGAGGCTGGAGATCTTATTCGTATTCTTGAGGAACAATTCAATTAATCACATGATCGATGATATTAATATCGACATGAATTGCGTCTGGTTGTTATTTGCTCTTTTTCACTGTCATCCATCCAAACTATTCAAATATACATCGTGCGTATAAAAAAAATATTTATCCATGACGTCATAACTATTGTTATTAAGTTTGCAATAAAAAAATAGGTGAGTTACGAAAGAAATATTTGCCTCATAAAAAGGAGAAGGGTCAAGTTGAAATTGTTGTTATTAGTCTACAATAATTAGTTCAGAAACAAAATCAGCTAACTATAAATGAAATCATATGTGAAAATAAAAGGTTGATAAAGTTCTCTAGCTTATATATATGATAAAGTATTGTTGAAGAGCTAGAGATGTGTACAAACAATATCAAAGCTAATCATACAGTCTTTATTTTGAATGAGATTAACTCTTATCGAATTCGTAGAAGACAGGGTTGCCACGAGGGTCTATTGGTAGATGGACTTTGGGGAAAGGATCGAACACTCTTCTGGAAACTAGCGAGCAAAAAACAGAAGAACGCTGGAGATGAAAAATTGACAATGTCCTATAGTAAGATTCAAATAGTGTTACATGTACTTCGAACCATTGGCTATATTTCATGGTGTTTAAGTTTTTTTCTAACACAACTTGAATAGAGTAGAAAATTAGACGATTAAATCTGTACTCAAAAATGCATTGAATGGCGTATAATTTGTTAGTTTTTCAAGTAAAAGTTTTTCAAATAAAACTTTATGGTAAGATCCTATTCAGGATTCTTTCCAGATTTTTGTTATTTTTTTATCGATCATGTCTCTTGAGTAGTAAAAATTAATATTTCTTAAAGAAAAATTCGATGTTTACATGTTCTTTAGAAATTGGTCATTGTGGTCTGATGTCAATTTCGAGTGTATCATGAAAATACAGAGAACTTCTTTTGATGTATATCGTTGTATGAATAAAGCCTAACAAATAAAAAACATCCGATAGATGCTTCTACTCATAAAGTTATAACCGATAACAAAGTTCATGAATCATCTAAACATAAGCTTTAATTTAATATTACATACAATTTTTAACGATCTGAAATAAAAATATAGATTTCTTCAACAAGATATACATATGGCACTTTATTTTTCAGAGCAATATGTAAGGCAGTGTGTATTTCAGAAATAGTAGATGTTGTGTAAAGTGCCCGCAGCACGAAATTCAAGTAAAATTTTTTTTTCGTCTTTTCGCATCATTTGGTAGAGTTTGAGGTGCTGATCACGAATATCTACTTTTTAGTCAAAGCAAACGTTTTCCTCCGGTCGAAAAATACGAAATACTCGAAAGATGTCGATTTTTGCGAAAAACAAATTTGTTCTCGAAATGTGCAAAATTTTCTACTTTATTCTGTTTTTTTTCAGATTCAGTATCAAAAACTGAATACGAAAAAATTCTTAAATAAACTCTACACTCAAACTTCTATTTGTAATAGCGCTTCGAATTGAACCGAGTGCATCACGTATAGGCCGATTTTGTAAATCTATCTAGGTTTTCTACGTAAGCAATGAAGTTAAATATTTTATCTCATTCGACTTATTGTATCACCAGGCAAAAAGTTACGTATCCTTTTTCTTTCTTTCCTTTCCTATGTTGAGAAAAGTGGTTTTCGAATTCAAATAAGGCTTTTAGTCACAAACTAGATACAGGTTCGGAATCAACAGACAAAACTGAGTCAGATGAAGTATTATTTCAAGGAAATTCGACAACTTTCGTTTTTTCTCACTTTTTCTGGTATTGTCGGAGAACTGAAATTTTTATACATGTGTCAAAAAATGAAAGTTATCTAATTTCCTTGAAAGATACTTCATCTGACTCAGTTTTTTGTGTTGATTCTGAATCTGTATCTAGTTTGTGACTAAAAGCCTTATTTGAATTCGAAAACCGTTGAATACCGCCTAAAATACCTATGATATCAGTAAAAACCGGTTTTCTCAACATAGGAAAGGAAAAAAAGAAAAAGGATACGCAAATTTTTGCCTGGTGATATGATGAGTTGAATGAGATAAAATATTTGACTTCATCGCTTACGCAGAAAAACTAGATAGGTTTACAAAATCGACCGATACATATTGTACTCGCCGCAACTTGAGGCGCCGCTACTAAGACAGTTTTGGGTCTAAAATGGATTTAATGCTTTGTTTAAATTCAGTTTTTCATGATGAATCTGAAAAAATTAGTTTCAGAATTTTAAAACAAGAAGAAAGTGGAAAATTTTTCAGTTTTTCCCAAAATGTGCTTTTTCGAGAAAAACGACAACCTTCGAATATTTCGTATTTTTCGACCAGAAGAGAACATTTGCTTAAGTTAAAAAGTAGATATTCGTGATCAGCACCTCAAACTCTACCGAATGATGTGAAAAGACGAAAAAAAAATTTTTACTTGAAGTTCGAACTGCTTGCACCTTACATTTGTTTAATGAATGTACTGGACGAGCATGCTGCTACCAGTGTGTAACAAAAACTTTTGAATACTTCAGCACATTAAAGTTTGTCTCTTTTTTTAGTAATTGAATGCAAAATGTATCAAAGTGTTCAACAGACTAACTTGTTGAAAAATTTTTCTTACAATGCTAGACCAACTTGTTGAAAAATTTTTCTTACAATGCTAGACCAACTGGACAAGTATCCGAACGAGTACCTGGTCAGTACCTATATTAAAACTGACGAGGAAGTATTTTCAAGTATCAATTCGTTTTTAAGTCGAGACTATGTGCATTATATGGGTTCTAATGATTTATAAATACCCTGAAAAGAGTTTGGGTTATTAGCTTATTGTTGTCGAGATCTTGGCATTTTTAATGCAAAATTGTGACTCCTCTAAGGATCATCAGGAAAACTGAGTTTTGAATTTCGACTTGAAACTTTGTACAGAGATAGGTCTTAATCAGAATAGTTGATTGTAAAAGTTTCAGATTTTTTTGATTGTTTGTATTCTGAAATAAGAACATTGGTATCTATCGGTGTCTATGAACGATATAAAAAAAAATCGTATTTTTTACCATAGTTATATCTTTGAATAGAAAAAATAAAATGATCTGAAACTTTTAGCAATAAACTATTCTTATTAAAATCTGTCTCTGTGGAAAATTTCAAGTCAAAATTCGAAAATGAGATTAAGCTAAGACTCCAAAGTATTCACAAATAATGCTCATTGTTCCAATTCAAAACTATTTGACAATAAACAGCATTGATCCATTCGATAAAAACTATATTGATATATTTTCATTTGTTAAAAAGATATTCATTTTTATATATTAAAAAAAAAATGACAATTTTTTTTTGTAATTAGCTTTCTTATTCAAATTGAATAAATCTCTTATAACGACATCTTTTGATCATTCTATGATTGATGGGTTTGTATCAGCCAATTAATTAAAGTTGTTTATTTGTTCTTTATAATGATTCACAAAATTTCATGACTTCAGATTTCTTTTTTATTGCAGTTTCTTTTCTTTATTTTTTCAAATCAAGGTCTTTTTTTAGTTTTAGATCTTATTCCATTTCAAAAATATCATGGTTGAATTAAATGATGTTGAAATGAAAGAAGTCGATTCAACACCTAATTCAAATATACCAAATACAACAGCGACATCAAAAGATGAAAAAAAAGACGCTGATACATTAACATTGGATGGTTAATAATATTTTTCAATTAATT